TTAAACTGCAGTCATAATTCAAGGAGTCACTACAATTGAACCTCTCCTCCCATTCCTGTCCCCCCGGCCCTATTCAGAATTTTATTTACTGCAAATTATATCCCTAAAAAGTCAACCGTCCTCTCATTTTTATGAGCACAGTGCAGAAGTCGGGCACTGAGACAGAAAATACTGGATTTAATGATACTGATCCATAGGAATACAGCTTCGGGCAGTGCTAGATACTGCTCTACGTGTCATAGGCACTGCTCTGACACTAGTTAAGGACTTTTTTTTCCCCCTTCCTTTGAAAGCTAAGGAAAATACATGAGAAATTATTGACTACGACAAAAGCAAAGAGATATAAATTTTACAGTCATCTGTAGAAGTAGCTGTTTTATAGGTGGGCAGAGTCATAAACTATAATAACTTAAGGATATGTACATACATACTTAAATGATGCTGGCCATTGCATTAACTCTTTCTCCCACTGCTATGCTACACTAAATTTTCTAGCAAGTTAGCTTATTTAGTGTTGATTATGCCAAGACACAAAGGTGACACGTATGGCCTGAAAAAATATGTAAAAATGGAGAACAGTAGCTAGTTACCATATGAAGCCTATGCAGTTTAACTGTATCTCCCACCGAATTTCATTTCATAATCATGAATTAATAATTTCCACACCTCCTACCTGCCATCATTCATATTTTTCTTACATAAGGATCAGAAAAAAATGGTTCCCAATATGACCTTCCCAACTTTCAACATACAAAATTCAAGTGGTTAAAGTTATCTATATACTAAACAACCTCAAAGCCAGCATTTGTCTTAAACTTTATATAGACTTTCAAGCACACTTGAGGACCTCTTTGGGCAACCCAGCTGCTTTAATTGTTAGGTGCTTCATTCATCCAGGCACCCCAACCTCCCCCTGGGCCCAAGGCTCGCTATTTAGTCCTCACTACCCAGATGTTTAACGCTGGACACCAAACTTTTCCTGTGCTGTTTACCAGCCACGTTAATCTGATATGAAGCGGGCCACTGATGGGAAGACTTACAATGCTGCATTTGGCTACCAGCTTTGGGTACAGTTCTACCAAGAAACCGTTACTTCTGCCTGAAATGTTAGCGTGTCAAAGGAATTAAAACAATAACCAGAGCATAAAAGTTTACACTTGGTACGTTACTATATTTTGCAATGAATTTAACAAATGGCTTATGTATAACTTGCCATTTTGATAAATATTTTGCTTGCAAATGCCATAGGACCAGAGATTTGAGAACCCTCACCCTTATGTTCAACCTTTGGAACTTTCTCAGGCAAGGACTGTGCCAACATTATAGAAAATAGAAAATAAAGGTAAGTTTTAAGTCAAAAGTTACAGGGGAAAAAAAAATAATCACCATTCGGAATTTTGCAGAAGACAGTAAAAATCTGTGCTCAAAGAACACTGGAAATTTACAGGACTGTGAATAATAAATCTAAATAATCCATCATTTTCAGATGACTTTGTGAAGCAAAAGAAAAAAGCAATTACACTGTCTTTATCTCCGGACTACAGCAATCAATCAGGGGGACTAAACCCAGCAATGCAAACAAGTGCATCGCACTAGAGGTTACTCTCTCTCTTGGCTGCAGGACCAGAGACAAACCTACGCTCACACAGCGCAACAACTGAGGCTCAGCGCGCTCCATTAATGCCAACCAATCTTCCTCACAGGTTTAGCCCAGCACTTCGTACCCGTAACGCAGGGCCGCCAGAGGACTTCCACAATTTTATGCTGAAGAAAGACAAACAAGTAGAAGCAGAGGTCTCTTACAACTGCTGCACCCAGACCCATTTGTGGTGCCAGGTTTGGCTTTGGAGCCCTACACAATAGCTTCAGAGAGGTTAACATCCGCCATGTCTTTCAAGTCATTGTCCCTCAGGGGTAAACACCATACGAGCCATTAAAAAGAACGTGGGTCTGTAGGTTTCTTCAAATATTATATACAACTTTCCCTTGTAAGCTTTAATACAGTCCTTCCAACCACTATCAACTCCATCTCTGCCCTCCCAGCCTCATACTGTTCCCTGTATGCTTATTTAAAAAAAATTACACGAGGCCTCCATTACCGGGTCAGGAACTTCACAGACCTGTCCTGCCCCAAGAGCTGAGCTCATCACTGAGCAGATTCCCCTTTCCCCCCAGTGTTTGGATTGATTTGCTTTATGGGAATACACCATGTTTGTAAATTACACCAGTATATGCACTAATTACAAAGTCTGGTTCACAGTGCACACGGCTGACTAGTTAAAGAAATGATCCTTAGGTTGCCAGGGTTTTGAAGATGGTTAGAGCCAGGCAGACGCGAGGAGGGGATCGCTGGCTGTCTCAGGTTCAAATGCTGACTTTTCCACAGTAGGTGTGTTCTTCAAATGCCTTGGACTGATGGCCAAAAAAGCTAATTCCTTTCCCTCACACACAGGCAATGCTGCTCTCTTCAGCAGTTATCTATTTGTAAAGAATTTGTAATAATACTATGACTTTTTGAGGACTGACTTAGCCAAGAGGTCCCAAATGTACCAGAGCGGGTAGTTTAAGTAGCTAAAAGGAAGGGCTGGGGTGGGGAAGAGACAGGAGTTGTTTTATGTCCCCGGTAATCCTGGGTATTCTTGGATATACTTGAACAGATTTTGTCTATTCAAATCCACGTTTCCACACACCTGGAACACCAAGACGTGGCAGCTTTTACACAGGTCTGTGCTGCAATCACATACCAAACACAGCATGGCAACTATAAACATCACAGCAGCTTTTTCAGAGCGATTCCCCAAAAGACAAGATCGATTTCTATCAACAACAAAGACAATGTTTTATTGAACAAATCTATGTACAGTACAAAAAAGTTTTTAAAATGAAACACTACTGTTGATTTATTGCAGTTTGATGGCTCAGTTTTAATTTGTACTCTTATATAAAATGCAAAGTAAAATAATTTAACATTCAACAAGGAAGCACAAATTTCCTTTCTTGCTGAACCTGTAACAGCTTTTACAAATTAACAGAGTCCCAAAATGCATACACTGCATTTAACCAGAAAGGTGTTATACAGTACCAAATAAATTAAGAAAATAGTAACACTACCACCCCCTTTGAGTCTTTTGTCCATACCACTGGTGTTAAACAATAAAAGAAATGAGTACAGCTGAACCTTCAGTGTGATATTAAAATCACAAAGTTTAATGTTATAAATTATCCAAACTATACAATTTATATAGTTTTAATGAATATGGCTAAATAACCAAAGTACCAGTGACCTTTCCCCACAGATACGACCATTTTCAACCTACTTTCAGTATTTCAATTTCTTTTGTGAAAGGTGCCTACCAAGTGGCAACTCTTGGAAAATGAGAACTTACATGACCTTTCCAGTGAACTGCGATCGGGTTAGAGTAGACAGTCTTAAAAGGAAAGTCTAAATCCAAGTTAGAGCCACCCGAAGGGATGTTATCAGAACACGACTATCAGCAATGAAATGCAGAAACTTTGATCCAACAAAGCTCCAAAGCTCATGTATAATTTCAGGCAGCTTTAAGGTATTTGCATGCTAACATTACACATGTACTTCAGTATTTATTGAATCAAAGAAGTACTTCCAATTATAGTATACAATGTTTAATGCCTGGGGAAAACAACAACTTTCAATTCTAGATTTGGAACCTTTTTCAGCCCTAGAAATTGCAGGCTTAGCATAGGATAACACTCAACATACTAAAGAATCCTTAAAAAGCATGTGGAATTATCCCCCATGTTACAAGCATCTTTTTGTTCCTAATTAACGTTGCTTAATACTGCAACTATCTGAGAATACCAACAGGTATCAGAGGAGTTTAAAGAAAATGCAATGACTTTTGAAGTAAAAATCATTACTTAAAACAAAAACGTTACCACCCACTTGCTACTTCAAGTCAATTTAGCATTTCTGATACATGTTAGGTGATGCTAATGTTCACCTACATTAGAATTCCATTTTCCAATTCTGCAAAGCGTATATACTGAACACATGGTATTAAATGGTGGTGTCCAAGAAAAACATCTTTCAACAAAAACAAGTTTAATGAAGGTACAAAAAATTATGGTCACAGTTTATGCATGTACATAGATGCATTTATCTACACACTTAAACCAAAGGAAATACAAGTCTCAATCATGTTTTAAAGCATCTTCAAACACATGAAGCTCCAGGAAAAGGCAAAAAAGCACCAAAGATTAAAGGTACATTTAAAAGACTTTACACAAACATTTTTGTCATATCTACTGAGTTTTCAGATTTTTAAAACTGTAATACTTTAAAATTAACCTTTTCTTTTTTTCCCCAAATATATTTAAGCAAATTCAACTAGATTAACTATGGTAAGCAACAAAAGGGGAACCTAGGAACAATCATGATGATAAACGGGGTCCTTAAAGATTAGTTGGTAACTTGAAAGCAAGAAACGTGAAAGTGCATTTGGCTGGTAAGGTCCCCATCAAATTTATGTTTAAAAACTTTTAATGTATTTATATATGTAAATATATATATAGTGTGTGTATATATGAATATATAATGAATGATGCATTTAAAATCAGTTTTTTTGCAACTGCAAAAAAAATTCTTTGGTGCCTCAAATGTCATACAAAGCTCTGAAAGTGGGCTAGTCATCAGTAATGTAGTGCACACATACCTGTGATCATAATTTTATAACCTTTTACGTTAATCCAACTCAAAGTTAAGGCAAAAATTTTCCAGAAGTCAAAAGAGCATGATTTTGAATTTGTGTTCTTTTTACCTCCCAGGAGGGGAAAAGGAAGCAGAATTAATGCAAATATCTGTTTAATTTCACAGAGGATTATTAGCAGAGGCATTACTGATCTAAGTTTAAGTTCCAGAACTACTGAACAGCCTATTTTACAATGAAACCCTTAGGTTTGCAAGTGTGAGCCATTGCTAACAATGAACAGATCTTTTTTTGTACCTCTTGACTTTTTTACTCTTTTTTTTTTTTTACGTATCTGTTGATTTAAGCAAGTTGATCATCTTATTATGCCATACAAGCATTGTGATGAACTATTCGGTAAGCAAACTAGCTGAGCAGGAATGGCTGGTCTTCGCTGTCCTACGTTTCGGTGATGACTCCATCTGTACATAGCAGTTTTTCACCACTATACCCTCCATGCCTACAATCACATGAACTTTTTCAGCTACAATGAACAGGATCCCAAATAAAATATTTTTAGGTGGCAAGACAGTATAAGATAAATTAGAGGATAAATTAACACAGTAATTAGACAATGTGCATTTGCCACACTTCTGTTTCGGGTGGGAAGACCAAAAACTACAACAGCATCTTTTTGGTTTCCGAATGTCCTGTATTTCAATGTTACATATAGAGCTGAATGACTCAAATTTCCCATCTTCACATTTTGATTGTTTCTATGAACAGGGAATTTTGGATAAAGTGCTTAACATTTAAGTCTAAATCCTTCACTAACTTCTGGGAAAGGCTATCTTTTCAAGAGATGCTACTAGATAGGGTCGTAATGTGTTTTAAGGTTGAGTTGACAGATATTTTCTCCCTTCCTCTAGAACGTAAGTAGTTACAGTACTGAGTTGTGACCTACTACCATTAAGCAGTATCACCTATGTGAAACGGGCTCTTCCTGATCTTTTTTTTCCCCAACTTGACACATGCTCTGCTTTTGTCTACCTTTTTTTTTTTTAAAACAGGAAGCCTTCTCAAGTTTTTTCAGTCATTCCAACAGCTGAAGGACCTCTGTATTGCCAGAAAATTAGTTTAACTCTACCCTGTAATGCAAGCTAAACCCCCTTCACATTCTGTATGTGTTTCAATCTGCTTCAATCTTAGTCTTCCCGCACGCGCAGCAGATGTTTTCCAGGACACTCTCAACATACACATCTACCACAGCCTTGAAAAGGGCTTCTCTTGCATGCCTCTGATTTCCACTGTGCATAACTGTCACACTTGGGATCACATCAACTCACGTTTCCTTGCATGCTCTGTACTTCAAGTTTTTGGCTATTCAAGCGTTCCATCCATCTTAGATTTCTTTCTACATTCCTCTTTTTGGATTCTGAGTGTAAGCTGATGAAATGAGCTCCATGCTTTAGAGCAGATAATGGAATCATATATTCAAACTTTGCAAAAAAGAACACATGTTCCTCTATACATTTCTTATCCATATTATAGTAACATAGCACCTTCTTGAATGACTCCTTCCCAGCTGTGTGGATGGATACCCTTTAACCACACGTTTTCCAACTAAAGCAGCTTTGAGAATTAGCTGGTTTTATTTCCATAAGGCAATTAATACCTCTGCTTTCTCTACCTGCTCAACTGTATGCCTTATTTTCCTTAAACCTTCACGCTTGAAAGACTGTGCCGCTAAGCTTCAATCACACATTTGGAATGAATGTGGCTTTTTCGGATAACTGGTACTTTGGGGATTTTGTAGCAACCTTTCTGGACTCAAGACCTGCAGAGCTCCTATTATTCCTCTGTGAGTTTTGTCTAGAAAATGTGCTTTGTCTTTATCAAGGTCATGTTTTACTTTAGTAATTCGAGACTGCTTTATGATTAAGGCCAACTGGGAAACGAACTGATGCTTCTTCATGTAGTGTTTTCTTACACCACTCCTCGTTTGATACTTTTTCCCACAACATTAAATCAGGCACCTGTAAAAGAGAACGCACTGGGATCAAATTTTCTTTAATCTAGAACATGTTTTTTCAACATGTTTAATTTCAAGCATGCAAGGAAACACACACAGAATTACCCCCTTCTGTTTTATGAGGTCTTTTCTATTAGATTTGCCTACCAATTCTGACAACCTCATTCGTACTCTAAACAAGATGTCCAGTATAAACTTCCAATTTAGCACAATATTGTGATTTAACTGTCTTAAGATCTGGCATACTACAATTGCTTAGAAGTTGTGTCTGCCTTACCTATTCCATCAAGTTGCCTGTTTTCAAAGACCATTTCCTAGTTGGCATTTACCTCCAAACAAACCAACCCAGAAGGACTGTTAAGACTTACTTTCATCATCTGAATCGAATCCAAAGAGCGTCTGACACTTCTTTTGTGCAAGGTGAGCCTCAAGTGCTTCTGAATTACAGTAGATGGTCAAGCATTTGCCACATCTAAATCTTTCAGTTGTTTTGCTACAAAATTTATCTTGTTCAGAATGTGCATCTACTTCATCAGTCAAAAGTTTTCTACGTTTTGGCATGCTAATGTATCGTTCATCAAGATAACTTGGAGGCAATGGTCTAACATACGGTTTTGTTAAGATGACACCATACGAAGTATTCTCTGTCTGATTTGGTTTAGAAGGTAATTGCGAGGCAGCAGCATTATTTTGTGGTATATCATGACAATTCTGTAAAACCGGTAACACCGACCCATTTTCTGTCCTTGTTTCATCTGCCACTCTGTCCAAAGGTATTTCTGAGGACTTTGATGATGTCTGATCTAGGTCACTGTGCCCATTGACTAGTTGGTCACTAACAACATTACAGTTTTCAGAATTTGGCTGTATCACAGGTGTCTTTTGGTCTATCAAACTTAAAACTGTAGCGTTACCCTCAGACGAACTTTCATTTCCGTTGTGAATTACATTATTTGCTTTCTTCTCAACACTTTGAATATAAGTCTTTGGTTCTGTAGAATCCTTCCTTGACTTCCAAGTTGGAATTGGTAAATCTACAGTTTCTTTTTCATTAATAGATTCATCATCATCTTGGTAACTACAAAGTTCTGAAGGATCATCTGAAGAATCTTTTTCACTTGCGTCTTCTGAACATTCTGGTGTTTTATTTAAATAATGCTGAGCCTCATGTTCATAAAGCAAAGGGAGCTCCTCAAATAGCTCACAGCACTCTGCAAAATTGCATCGAGCTTTAAAAACACTATGACTTTTTGTATGTTCTGCAAGCTCAGTTGACAGCTTAAATCTCTGATTACAATTAAAGTGTAAACAAAAGTAAACATTTGGATACACATGTCTCTTCAGGTGGTCTATAAAATGTTGGGAATCAGCAAACTTTCTCTGGCAGAACCGACATTTTCCTTTATTCCATTTCATTATATGCTGCTGCACCTTCAAATCAGTTGGATGTGTTTTTCTTGCGTGTTTATTGAGGCATCTTATCTTTTTAAACACTCTAGCACAACCATTAGCAGGGCACTTAAAGCTTCCTTCCTCGTCCATTGCATTAATGTCTTTTTGAGGGCAAAAGGCTCCATTCACTTTATGCAGAATAGGCGAGTCTTTACTGGAGTTCTCATCATCTTCAGGCAAACTTTCTGTACTTAGAGCGTCAGGAACATTATTGAAACAGCTGTCACTACTATTCTCAGTAGCATCGTCCTGGTCACTTAGATGGTTTTCGACTGCATCAAATACCTGTTCTGCATTCTCCTCCTCCTCTTGGACCACTTGGTCAGCACTTGGAACTATTGCAGTCTCTGGTTCATTATCTTTGGAACCATCAGAATTCCCATTTTCAAGAGACACAGAAACATCAGAACATTCTAGTTCATTAACAGCAGGAGCCTGCTGACCAGCCTCAAGAAGTGCAGCAAGATGTTGCCTTTCTATCTTCCTGACATGATTCCTTAAGTGCTTCAGCATAAGTCCTTTTTGCCTGAACTTTCTGGTGCAAAGTACACAGGAAAAACTGCCCTTTTTTTGGTGAGCTTGTGCATGTTTCACAATGTGACCACCAAGAAATTCCTTGTTGCATATCACACAGCGGTGCCTTGGTACAGTTTGATCTAACATTTTAGATGCCTCAAGAGCTTCATGGTTCTTTTTGGCATTACCTTTGGACTGGGCTTCAGAGAGGTCTTCAGGGTCAAACTCCCCATTGCTTACATCTGTTGAACAGACACGTTCCTCACTCAGAGCCCTATGCTCTGCTGTCTTCTCTGTATTTGCAGTAGAGTTTTCCAGTGTACTTTCACTTAAGCCAACAAAGGCTTTATCCCCCAGTAATGCTAAACAATTCTGCTTGATCATCAAGAAATTCCAAAACTCAGGATCAAAAAACAAACCTTTTTTCAAAATTGGAAGCAATTCAAAACGGACACGGTTTTGAACAGAACTAGTGCACTCATTGTATTCTTCATCTGCACATTTATATAAGTGTTCAACAGTGTAGTAAGATTCCAAGGTGCGCTCAAGAAAAAAGATTGAAAGAGCACATATTCTGAGGATCTCCAAGTCATTTGGCAGAAAATGAGCAATTGCTTTATAAATAAGACTTTTCATGTTGGGATCTTCATGGAGGTCCAACTGTAGGGCACATCCACATATCTCAACACATATCTGAAGACCATCTTCACCAACCTGCAGAAAGAAAATTACAGTGTAGATAATTATAGAGTATGCATAACGGTATTTTCCGTATGAGCTTATAGAATTCTGCAGCTTGAAAGTAAAATAAAAGAACAATAGACCCACAGGAAAAAAAAAAACCAAACTGGTATAAACAATGCCTGAACATCAATATCCAATGTATTTATATTAATCTACTTGCAAAATAATAGTTAAGAGTTCAGAAAGCATCCTGCTAGCAAACTTCATCTAAAGGCATCTACATTTTAAAGTAATGCTCAAACAAGACTATAAAATACAGATACAAAAATGCTCAAAAATATCATCTGGTTCACACTGAAAGGTATACAGCTACTGTCAACAAAGCTTCAGATACTTTTGCCACGTGCAGTTCTACAGTTAAGTCCAATTCATTATCTGGGGATATAAAACAGGACTGCAGCAAATCCCATCTGATCTAGCAGTAGCCTATGTAATGGACATGCAGACAGAAGATGTTTCATACTATAATTGGATAGTTACTCTATTTTGTCCCTGTTCTAACAGATTTAACTTGCATTGCATAAAAATACAAGCTATAGAATATTGCCCTCAGTTTTGAACAATGATCACCAGAGAAACCATAACAAGCCATAGCTAAGTATTTTACAAGGATTGAATTTTAGAATTGACAAGCTATCCTTCCAACAAACTGAACTCCTATTCCACACTTTGGGCCGTGAACATGTAGCTCTGAGAGATGATCAGAGACATACAGCCCAACATGTAGCAGATTAGTGTAAAAAGAATTTCAGGAAGTTTAGAAATAATTAATACCTACCTATATTTAAATGTGTGTTAACAAATACATACAATGCTCCATATGTAGTGGTTAATAAAGAAAAAAATAACATTCAGATGTTCTTTCAGAAAAGAACAAAGAGAAGTTATTCACGTCACCACAAGTATTTTAGAATACATACTGAGATAAAAATCTTGAACAGCAGCAAATCATTGCATTTAGAACTGTACAGCAGCACCCATGACAAACTAATTTATAATTTATTTGGGGCACAAAATACAAAGGAGGTCTGTTCAGTCAGGTCAAAGATAACAAACATTTGTTTGGAAACAACTCGCACTCCGGTGTACAAAGTATTGCACGTTACCATCTTTTGCAGATGTTTGCATGGAATGGTATAAAACAAACAAGTGAAGCATAAAATACAGTGCAGTTTTCCGAAGCAAAAATATTTCTTCTCCTATCTTAGTCTAGCTTTTCCTTTATGTTACATTAAGCACCTCTTCAGATTTGACTAGAACCGATGAAAGGATCCAGAACCTAACAAGGATTAAAGGCAAATACAATAGCATTACACAAGTCCTATTTCCTTAAAGGAGTCAGGCTGGGAAAAAAAAAACTTGCTTCCTGTATTTTAGTATTAATTTTCCCGTTTACTTGTAGAGGATGACATTCCTCAAACTTACTGCAGACAGAAAGAAAAATTCAGGATTCAGTAAAAAAAAAATAATCTTAAACATACACAACAGATCAAGGGCAATCATAACAGTAAAGCATGTTCTGGAAGCTGACAGATTTTTTACATTAGTATGGTGGCCTTCCCTACCGCTTCTTAACTTTCCACAAAAAGTAGCCATTACACAATATAAACATCACTTCTCTTTAACTAGTGACAAAAAGAATGCAGGGGGGGGTAAAACAAATGAATAAAACTTACTTCATCCTTAATGACTTTCATGAAAGGGAAAATTACTCTGACATTTGTAGCAATTCTTAAAAGCTGGTAGCACTGGTCAACAAATACTTGTTTTGATGGGTTAGATTTAAGCTGCAGTTTACTCCAAATGAAGATCAGGTCCCTATAAGAACAGAACAAAATATTTCAGTTAGATTGAGTTTTAGAACTCTTATCACTAAGCATGATGCATTACTAAGAACAATTATTTGCATATACTGTAGCTAAAATCATATTTGAGGGTGTAATACCAATCTAATTAATACCACGAATGTACACTACATGCACAATGGAAACTGCAACTTAATTACTTTGTTAAAGCACTCAGGGTATCTCCTATCACTGAGCCAATTAAATATTCAACAAAATATTAATGTATTCAGCTTAGTATCGGAGAACTGCATAATAAAATCAGATGCTACAGTATTTAGCCCTTAACACCACAGGCAATAAAACATCAGGCTGAACAGCAAGCTCTGTGCTCTTGGGATTTTGACTTTCAGTGCAAGAATGAGGAGTCCTTCAGGAAAAGAAGTGTTTGAATGTGGAGAATGTGAGCATTGTAGAAAGCTAGCTTCTGATACAGCCCACTGACAGGAAATATTGATGTTCTCCAGCTACACATATTACAACACAATTTTCTGTTTTTACTGCTGTCATCACTGGTCTTTCTAGCCAACATGCAGCTACATCAAAGTATCAGGCTCTACAGCTATTCATACATTTCTATGATCTTCAGCCAAATAACATTTAACTGATACAAGGAGACAACAGAATAGATTGCTAGACCCTGCAGCAAAGCTCTTACACAGGTAATATGTTTAGTCTATAAAATATAGCATATAGCTCATTGAAATTTACAGTCCATAAGTTCTATACACTATTAATTGAGAGACTTGGAAAGGCAACTGGACTTAACTTTTAGTTATAAGAAAATTTGCCAGCACAAAGATTTTACACAGGAGTCAATGTAGGCAGAACCAGGCAGATGTCCCACCAAAACACTACAATGAAAACAGGGGACCAATCGACTTTCACTTTTCTGAAGGAAGACACTTCTTTATTCCACCAGCCTCCTCCCTCAGAAAACACAAACCCAGTTAGTGATAAAATATTTGGCTGATCTTGCAGAGTCTCTAGTCTGTGCCAGATACAAATCAGACAAACCTGAGATTACGCTTGTCTAGTAAGGTCAGCGCCTGCATGAAGGGAAGTGACAGAACTGCCTATGACAAAACATCAACTTCACTTTTAAAGTTAGGACAGCTCTACAATTCTGCTTAACATTTTAAGAGCTAGACAAGAGAGCTTGATTGTTTTCTTCCAGAAACCCAAGAAAACTGAGGTTGAAAGAAAGATCAAACATACATGGGGGAAACTGTGAAAAGAGTCCTATAAGCAGCTCTGCCCACAAAAAAATTAGTCTTACAGGTTTTCTAAAGATAGAAGCTGTTCACCTTTGGCTTTATTAGGCTGGATTTCTAAATTCTTTAAGTCTTTGCAAGCTTCACGTACAAGTTTGAAATTAACGCACCAAACCATTCATTAAAAAAAAAAAGATCAGTAAAAATCTCAACCTGAGGTATGAAAGAAAGAACTGAATGTTTTTGCTGTTAAGAGATACAGCAGTTAAATAACACAACTTACTCTCTGCTTTGTCTCATACTATTCCAGAGCAAGCCATTTCTACACTAATCCCAGAGAACCTGAAAAAAACTCAAATTATTCTTCTGAGAGATTAGTGCTTAAAGTGGCTTGCCATGTGTTCAGACAAGTGTGATGGCTGGCACAAGGAAAGAACTGAAAAAGGAATGGAGAAAACTGAAAGTAGAAGGAACAGCTCCATGGGTGAAAAGCAAGCTGGTAAACCATTTTAACCACCATGATGTAAAACCACCCTGATGTAAAATAGAGTTTTAGTCTTAGCCTATGTTGACACAAAAGCTTCTCTCCTCCTCAAGCACATTTCTGACTTTGATAATCATTAAGGATTAAAGCATTCTTGAAAAGCTGATTGGCCTCTATTTCAACCACTTATATGCTTTAATGCTTTTAATGCTGGTTAGCAGCACTTGAGATATTTCTGTGCCACTAACCACAACACAAATGACAAACTTGAGATAATGTAGGCAGGGGTAGTTTTCCATTTGCTTGATTATTAATGGCATAGCAGTATAGCACTCAATGACACTTAATTCTAGGATAGTATAACTTAGTTCACACTAAGGCCTGTGCTTATACAATTATAGATATGTGTTGGGGCAGCTTAAATTGCTACTATGAGGTCACAGAACTTGGTACCTCTTTACCAGAGGCAACCGGGTATTCCAGCTTGTTAATGGCCCACAAAATACCAAAACCATTGCATGTCTCCATCAGCAACTTAAGAGAATGGCTAAGCTCACTCTACTTTAGCTAGATACGAATCCTTTCCTATTGTTAAGTAGAAAGTCCTACCTTCCCTTGGGTACAGATAGCACACTTTATCAAAATGTTATCCAATTCACAAAAGTTACCTAATGGCCAAAGACTGATCAAGCACAGGAAAAAAATATCTTTGACTTACTGAATTTACTGCATAGGAACTACTTGAAAAAAAAAAACACAACAGCATTTAAAAATTGCCTGGCTATGCCTGTTCCATCAAAATTTTGGCTCTCTTCCTGAAGAGATACCACTTTTTGATACTAGAAAGTCATTAATAACATCATTATGGACTGATCTCTTACCAATACCTTGGACAGAAATATTTCTAGTAAGACAAGCACAGTTTGCTTTGAGATTAGTTTGTAAGTGGGCTTTTGTTTCAGAAAAATAATTCAGATCACCTAAATCTAGGGTATATTCTTAATATCAGTGAAAACAATAGGAGTTTTGTGACAGAGCTGCTTAAAGTCCATTTTCCTCTGAGATAATGAGAGCTAATAGCTTCAGCTTGAAGATTTTATATAGGTTGCTTCACATGAAGCGGTAGCAAGTATCTATTTACAGTTTTCTAATCTATTTTGATATCTTTACTAGTAGTGTTTGATGCTAGATCTGGAAGGTCCTCAATTCCAAACAAGGCAAGATAATTTATGTTGTGCTGAAGATGTTTAAATCTTCTCTATGGAAAAAATACACAATATAGGTTAATTTAACCAGGCTCCTACTTCTTCAGTAATTTGAGTTACAGTAGAGTCATGCCTTCACAAACTTTGTTCCAGTTTAAGTTATCTATTTTGCAGATTTCTCTTGTTGGGTACACAAGTGTTAAGGCTCAGGATCTGTAAAGAACAAAACAGCTATTCTACCTGCACAGACATAACTGCTTTGAACTCTTTCAAATATCCTCAAGTTCTATATTCTGAACAGAAGATTAAAAATACTAAGAGATGCCAAAAAGGTTTCTTTGATAAACAGGTATCAAACAGTACTTTAGTCTCTTCTGGCACTTCATTTTTCACATCCACTTTGCCAGAACATAAGGACAGAGATCTTGTTTTGAATAGCAATTTTCAAAACGGACTATGCAAAATTTATTGATGAACTGGATAACAGCAAGGTTAACATGTTACTACAGCAAAAGGTATAAAAAGTAGGTTTAATTCCAATATTTGAAAATAATTTCTTAAAAGACTGACTCCCTGAAACAGAAAGCACTAGCCACATAACTGACGTACAGGTTATGTAAATATGCAAATTTCCTGATAAGTAAGAAGTCAAAAGGTGCAGCATTTGGGCAAGAATCGGTCACACTGGATTCCATTCCAAAGCTGGTCACTGGGCTCACACAAATTATGTACCCTTTTTGTTGAATTTCTTTATCAGTCCTACGGGGACAGTCATGCCCTCCTTTTTCTGGACAGACTGAATGAAAAATGCCACTAGGTACTGCCAATACATTGCATTGTGAATATACGTCATAATCATAATTCCAAAGGGCGTGATTCATTGCAATCAATTACCCAATAGTTAAGGAAAAATTTATGAACAAACTAAGCATTGTCATGTTTGTCCTTTATTACTTTCCCAAAAACAAAGGCATCTTACATTTCAATTCCCAGAAATCGGGGAGCAGGGAAATCCTACATATATTCTCAACTCCATATTAAAATTAGTTACACAGATTAATAAGAAAACAAAATCAATCAAATCCTTGCTGACCAAGCCTTTTCGCTTCAACTACATAATGAAAGAAAGAAATAAAGCATAGTTTATCAAAGAATGCAAATGTTACTTTAGGTACAGAAATTATACAGGCTAAACAGAAGAATTATCTTCCTTAGCCATCTTTTAGTCCTCAGAATGATGAAATTTGACAACTCTTTAGAAAATGTTTTCTAGAGAACCACCATTTATGCTATGGCTCTGTTACTGAAGTAAAAGTTTGCATAACTCATAGCACATTTTCACAATCATATATTCTCTTTTTAGACACATTGGTGACATAGTACAGCTTGGTTATTATAAGCAGTGTCATTTAACTAGCAGGACAGCAAATGACCTGCATTGCCAGAAAGTCTACAGACTGCATATTGTTACACATTGCTAATAATAAATGCCATATTTATAGGTATTTACACCCTTAAGTATGTAAAGGCTCACCCTTCTGTTACTTTGAAACAGTTAATAAGTGTTATGTACTATGTAGGCTACCACCTACATGATTGCATGTAAAAAGGCAACAGGCATAACAGACGTACTAAGAATGTTTAAAAATCATGTTAGAATGTTTTTATCTGGTATTTTAAACTTGAGCTACACTTCAAAGTTAGATGGGTTTCATTTTGGCAATAAGCATTTATTATCTGCTAAGCTGCTTCACCAGAAATAAAGTATTTACCATATACAATACATGTCCCCATTTTGAAGCTGTGGGACTAGGAACGATTCACATAGCTGTAAGGCTAAGGTAGTCTTCCCTTCTTTTTCAGTGTTGCAGATGATCTCAATTCCACTCTTGCAATCAGTCCTCAACAAGTGCTATACAATTAAAATAAAAATCATTTTAGATAAGTTTGCTAACACAAAATAAAAACCTATCAGACCTTGCTTTATTAAAGAAGCAACCAAAAACTTCGGGAGTTGCTATTGACAAAGGATTTCTTTGGAACAGCTTTTGTGCAGGTCTGTAAGTAAATATTTTGGAGACACTTAGAGCTCACTGATATTTCTTAGAGTAATGACAATCAGAATAATTGCTTGAGAAATTAAAGACTACACAAAAGCACTTTTTTCCATGACAGAAGCTTGCTCTTAAAACAAGGTTAAGAAAAGCATTGTTATCTAGTAAGTACTCTCAGTGGTAAAAAGTAGGGTCACATGCAGCTAGAGTGTCATTTTACATACGGGGGCACTATTAAAAAAAGCTTTAAGGCTAACAAAACTATATAACGTACAAAACACTGGATCGACATCAACCAGGCTCAAGTGCTTTTGCTAAAATAATAGTCAATAGTAAAACAGTCAAAACACTCAAGTTACAAAATATTAATGACTCAACCTATTTAGGGAATATATCTGCACATAAACTTGACCAAAAAAAATTGCATTTAGGTCAACTAGATTTGTAGGCTCTTAACACTTAGTGCTGGCTTAAGCTTTGCATAGTTAAGTTAAGCAACACTGCTGCGGTTCCCTGATTTTATGACATTTGGTTCTACAAAAACAGAGTTCCATATGCTCCACTTGACAACTTGTATATACAGTAAGTATAATGTACCACTTCATTAAAAAAAAAAAAAAGGTATACTAACAAACAATACCTCCTGGAATAGCTGATCTTCTAATGGTGACATATAAAGACAGGTGAAAAGAGCTTGATGGAAATACAGATCTTTACTGATATCTGGATGATTTATGCAAGATTTGATAAGAGCCATTGCCTCAGGGATGCGTTCACAGGCAATAAGGTATCTGGCACGTAGTTCAAAGAACAGTGGATTTTCAGAGCTTAAATATTTGTTAACTGTATAGAAAAGAAAGATTTAAAGGCAATTAGAATATGAAGTCCAAACAACAAATCTATTTAAATGTAATGTTGTTTTTACTAGTGCAAGGTCAACAAATAATATTTTTAAAAGGGTCTGCTAAAGAATCTATCAAATATGAATTTAAATACCATCAATAATCTGTCCTTCTGCTTGGAAACAGAAATTGTTATTTTTCTTATACCAGTAATCTAATTCAGTATTTTGTTTCTAACAGATAAAAACAAGTGCTGCAAAGGATTAGTAAAATATACACTATATAAAAGCAGATACGAACATTTTCAAGAAAGAAAAATTCCTCCTTTCTCAGCACTGGAATCTGGGTGGTACAGGACTGACAACACTTCCAACGTTATAACTGTTAACATTTAAAACAACTTAGGATACTCATTACCCATTAAAATGGAAGAGCTCGGAGTGGTGAAAAAGTTTAATACATTACACATGCTGTTGCTTTAAGTAACTTTGAACACCTTGATTTTACTTAAGTGGAAAATATGCTTTTTCTTCCTCTAAAAGTGCTACTGGGCACAATTCTTACATCTAAATCCCTAAATACCTTTACAATCTAACGCTGGATTTCTGGAAATCTCTTTTTCAGATCAAAAAGCTAATCTTAAAGCTAACATTCAAATGAAATAATTTGACATCTGAGATACTCAAAATACTTAAGTATTTAATGAACTATGATGTACATAGAAGACATGCCTCAGGATCTGTATTATAAAAGATCATACGATTCTAGTATCTCTTAGGATTAAAAGTTAAAATATCACTCAAGGCTACAAAAAACAATAATGCTGCTTTTATTTTGAGAATTGTTTGCATCTTGTCAAGTAAGTGCACACTCTGAGGTGTCAATAGTCTGTTAACATTTATGTAATGTATTCAACAATATGGCCTGATCTTCCTCTTATATTCTCAACAGCTACCTTAAGAGAAAGAGTAAAAACTCCACAGTTTCTAGTGTGTACTGTACAGTGTTTCATATTTTAAAAAAGAAAAAAAGAAAACAGATTGTCAATTTAAAGACAGTGAAGGTAAGAAGTGCGCATGGGAAGTTTATACCTTAGAAGGAACCTGTATTGTATATTATAAGCCATTTAAAGTGACACTTAAAAGGATTAAAAAAAGATAAAAGTGGTTATTGAAAACCACAACCTGAACAGCCAAGAGAAAATTTTTTCCCAAAACAAAGATCACTTGTATAACAAGCTCTCACTTAAACTTTTTTTTTTTAAGAGGACACCTGGTTTGAAAGATATTCTTTAAGCTCAGAAACAGATTTCTCTACCATCTTTATTTTTACACAAGCTAATGGATTATTTGTTAATGAACACTTAAGGAATATTATCCAAGGTGATAAAAGCTTTAAGGTCCACTACAAGAGAAGATCTCATTCTCACCATCCATTAGCACTTCTGGGTACAAACATAGTGAAAACGAGGACTGAAAGAAAAGCCAGTGTCTAACAGTGGTCATTAACTGCAGGAAAAAGTGATCATACAGAACAATCCTTAGAAGTAAAGGTGCCTCTTTTTTTGGAATTAACATACTCTACGATAACAAACCCCATCATCAGTGTCAGATACAAGCGTTACCCAACAGAATACTGAATATTCACATTGAAAAACTAGGCTAGAAATAGTTAGCTTTTGTTACGTGCTAACGTTAAGAAAATGTTGCATGTCTAAGAACTGTCTGTAACAACATTTTCCCTTAAATGAGTGAAGATTGCAGCTCACAATACAGGTTAACTTGTTACATCATTCCCACTTTCTATGTGGAGAACTCTTCGGTCAGTACGGCCCTCTGCTCCGTAACTAAGAATCCCACCTCTGACAGCACAAGCTCCCAGGGAAGGGGAGGGGGTCTCTTACATTCTCCAACACTGTTTTTAAACAGCCTGTGAGCTCCAGCTACACCACTGGCAGGATTGTGCTCCCTCCCTGTAGTAGAACGTCCTCCTTACCCCCTCTCTCCTAACCCCTCAAGCAAAGGACAACTGCTAACTATAGCAGCATTTAGCCAAGTCTGTGATACATTAAAGAAGGCTTGGGAAAAACAACATCTATTCTTGTCCAGGCAGCGTGTGCGGTGCTTTGCTTTAGGGCGACACATGCCAACCATCAGCTTAGAAACTAATTGACTGCTTACATCTGAGTGTACCTCTACAATATTCTCCTCTAAATGTTCACAGTAGGCCGCCTTATTCTCCCTAATCTATTACAAATTTACTGCTCCTACCTTCCAACCCTGCTGTTTTTCTTTAAACCCAAAGGCTGCCTTCCTTTTCAGTCATCTTGAAATAGACTGCAGCATCTCAAATTATACTACAATTCATGTAAAGACAGAGACAGCAAGGTTTGTCTTGGCCTAAGCTTCTACATGTAATTAATGAAGCCAAGACAGGATTATGTAGTTCACACAGTACGTATTTATCAAACTGACTTTTGCAAGTAATGGTTGGTGAATCAGCAATAATAGCAGTTTTACTCATTCAAAATTGCGATCCCTGAGGGAACTATATGGCCAACTTTCAAAATACACACCAAGTACTGCCAGCCTGTAAAGCAGCACAGAATATTTGCCTTGCTTAAACGCCACAAGAATCAGATTTTAAAGGAAGTGAGACAAGAAAGAAAAAGCTTCCAAAAGATATTATCTAAAATAAAATGTTTGCCATTGCAAACGTGATATGTCAAGGGGGTGCATGGGGTCATCAGAAGATAAAAGGAGGAAGAACACCTCCACAGAGGGAAAGGAGATGTGGCCTGCAATAAAAGGAAACAAAATGTTCACCTAGTGACATCAGGCAGCCTTCACTCCTACTCTTCAAGGTTAAAAGTAAAAATCTTTAATCTGTTGCCCATCATATAGAGGCTTCATGATGATCAAGGGAATAATTAAGGCAAAGGAATAAACTAATTCTTTGCTGGAGAGATGGAGATTGAGACCTAACTTCAGACCATGACCATCAAAATTTCTAGAGTTCGGCATGTGATACATAGCAAATCAAGGACAACCTTTGTTTTCACTTAATTTCTGTAGGTATTTGACTAGAAGTTTATCAGAGATTTAATAAAAATAATGGGTAAACTATGTTGCTCAAGTCCTTGCTTCACAAAAGAGAGACAAAACAACTAAGACTATGTAACTAATGTAACTTAGTTATTTTAATGTGCTATCAGAATACTTTCTCTGGTTAAGGAGGTAGCTCACCAAGCTGTTCTGACTTTATCGTCGTCTTCCTCTCTATACAGAATGACCAGAGTGTCATAAACACAGTGATGAATTTGGATCATGCATTACACCATAGTAACTACAGAAGAAATAGGATTTTCTATCCCTATCAAATAGAAACAACTTTTAAGAGCTCCTCTATGAACACTGCTAGCAAATGCCTCACATAAGATATTAGTAAAGACTTTGCTGTACATTAGATATTTTCCCCTTATGAACTTTTCATTGACATTCTGGTACTGTTTGTTTCCACGCACTGTTAAAAATGCTGTTTTAGTTTGCAGCCTGAACAGAAGTCTTTCTCCTACTCCCAAGTCTAGGAATTACATAAACAGAAAGCAGCTAAGAAGCGTAGTTGCAGGCCTCATTCTAAACAGGGACAAGGAACACCATAAGGCCAAGTATTTACAATTTAAAAGAAAAATTAAATGAGTCAGAGTACCATGATACAGAAATAGCTATCAGGACCTCCCCTGATCATGTTACTTCAGTGGCCTACAGGAAGTCAAGTCCATGCTCTTTCAGGGGTTGAACACCTGGATTTGGTAAACTCATTTTATAAGCAGCTGCTCAGCGGCCCTTCTACCTAAATAATCTGATCTCTGCACTACAGAAGTAGACTTAAACTACTAACGAAGACATTGAGTGGCCTATTTTCAAGCACAAAAAGGGACCAGAACATTTTACTACAGAAAAATAGTTAAAATATGTGCAATGCCAGCTGACAACACCTGACTCCAATATCCAAAAAAAGCATATAAATAACACATTTTTCAGTACTCTAAAAAAATAATAATAATAAAAAAAAATAAATGCGGTAAATGAAGTACCCAAGTCCTGTGATACAGGCTTTGCTTTAAGAATTGCTTGTAATACTGGATCCTCCCATGGTCCACCATCTCGAATGATGCGAGTCACTAGTTCCAGGTTCATATTTCTGTATCTATTTAGAAGGTTCTGACATTCCTACATATAAAAAGAAAAACAATTAGAAAGAAGGAAAAAAAATCTTGTCTATAAACAAAATTAGGCCATCCTGAAATATGAAAACCTACACATGTTTAAATATCTCCTCAGTCAACAATTCAAGCTACAAATTCCTTTATTGACCGGGCCTACACAAAGCCCTAAAGCAACAACTTATATTCTCTAAAAACAGTAACAGAACTGTGGAAGCCAGAATGCTCATATCTTCTACAGGAACATAGCAAGAGTCTGTCATTTGCATGTAACAATGCAAAAACATCCTTCCTTGAATTAGAGACATTACTGGCATATTGTCTGGGAGGAGTCTTCACCTCATGCTATTCTGCACAGATTTAGACATGCTGACGCTGGATTTGTGATCCAGTCACGGTGTCTGAGTTCTAAGAGGGAAAATCTGAATTAAGGTATGTGAGTCACCAGCCCTCAAGCAACCATTTTTCACCAAATCTCTACAAAACAGAAATTATGCTTGCCTAAAGTAATCTGGAGTGGTTTGGCCACCCATGATTTACACATATGCCAGGTTTCGCGCACCTCCCCCCCCGCCCTGTTACTTGCTGGTAAAAGTATCAACATTAATATTCACCAACAGTACAATTTTAATTACAAGGAAAAGGTATCTAATTTTGAAACAAAGAAAAAGTGCAGCTGAAGAATGGCTTCTGCACACATAATCAACTTCACATGTTTTTTGCTGTAAATTCTTTTAGTTTCAATTTTTTTTTTTTTTTTTTTTTTTTAAGAAAATTTTTTTTTGTTAAAAACCAACACCACAAAACAGAAACAATTAAGTGCTTACAGTATTCAAAAACAATAACATTAGGACTTGCAGAATTATTGACAGAGTAAATAGGTTTTGAATTGGTAGGTAGTTCAGTCCTTTTAATTAGAATTTTGCAATTAAGTGAGGGCTATTTATAAAGCATAGGCAACTACTGTGTAGTAGTTTTCTGTCATTCTTTCTGGTGCAAATACCAGTAGCTGTCGTTCTCCCAGTAAATAATCAACCCCAAAATATACAGAAGAGATATCTGAAATATTGACTCCAATTATCGAGTTTTTAAAGAAGTATTTTACAGACAATTAAGTATGACTACCAGTAATTTTTGAAGTATTATGTTGTTTTGACTGCATACCTAATGGTGTTTTAAAAGGTGTCAACTCTTATGGCAATAGAAGAATTAGAGTCGAGGGTGGATTTTTCAACAGCACAAAGGATAATTGGGTGTCTGACTCATATCAAATCAATACAAGTTGAGTGCCAAGCCCTTTTTGTGCCTTCACTTATCTTCCTTCAGAAAACTAACTAGTTAATGCTCCCACTACAAGACCCAGTTGCAGCTCTGTGTACATTTAATATTAATTTCTTTTTTTTTTTTTTTTTTTTTTTTTTTTTTTTTATGTTCAGATGAATATGCTTTATGGTAAAAACCATATAAGCAACTGAAACAATCCTTTTCACTGCCAGTTTGGTTATACAACTGATTCAGAAAATCTTTATCTACAAAATTAAGATATTTTTTAATACATTAATTGTTTAAAAGTCAAGACAAATGAGAACCGTAATACAAAAGCACAGAAAAAAATATTATACATCACATTTTTTCCTAAATTCTTTCATGCTCATGGACTGTTTTGAAAAAGTACTTATTGCCAGATTGCCAAAACGTCCCATTACTCTTATACAAGAGGACATAACCGTTCCTGAGGCTGCTAACGCACTCCTTGACCGCCTTCTTCCACCAGTTCTAGTCAAGCATGTAACTGCTGCCGATTTGGTAACTAAGTAGTGCTGACATTAATTGTAGCAGCAGTAACAAACAGGTATGAACATAAAAATAACGAGATAGCTATTTCTCCAACTGCAGTTCCATGATCAGTATTAACTGAAGCAACAACCCTGTTTTTCATCCTTTCTTTCCCTACAACAAAGTTTCCTCTCATGCTGGCACAAATGCTTGTGTACGCATGCAGTGAACTCAACTCTCAACAACCAGTTCAGGTCAAAAAGACTTATCTGGCAAAAAAGGTCAATTTTTTAAATCCAGGATCATTTATCTTACGCAGTTGTATACAGCTGTACAAAACCTTGCCTCAGTCTAGCCAACAGTACAACAGTTTTAAACAGTACAAATTTATGCTGACCTGAAGAGTTCATTGAGACTAAGCTTCAATTTCAAATTAACTCTTTAAAAATGCAGAGGGAAACTTGAGGTTTCATGTCATGAACTGGTACACAACACTGGATGCCATTAAGTTCTTGCAAGATATAAACAAGCAAAGATTCTCTCTTTTATACAGGAAAAGCACAGAGTATGTCTTTAAGAAGACTGGCACTATAAACAAAGTTAAGTACGTTTTACTTAGTCTAAGTAGATTAAAATAGCAATACTGGTGATAAATGTACCAATAAATGGTCTTCCCTTCAAACACCCATTTTTTTTTTACCTTTGGGTAGAAATGTAAGTAAAGCAGCTACCTCCTTTCACTGTAATGTTCACTGTTTCCTCCAGGTTATATATTCACAAAAACTGTCTTTATATGTACTAAAATAAAGGTTTATACGAAAGTAGGCAACACTACCTGGATTGAACCTAAAATATCTTTCAAAGGATCTTCATAGAACTCATCTTTTCCAAAGAACAGCAGCAATTCAAAAAAACTCCTAAAAAACAGAAGTAGTGATAAGTCAACCAAACTGAAAATGCTCATTCAAAAAATGAAACTACTATAAGTCTTTCCACAGCAGTAAAACCAAAATTAGGACTGTCATAAGTTCTAGACCCATGCCCATGCCAGAGTCACTCTAAAAAGTCTGGCTAGTGCCAACACTCTCTAAATACATATTTCAAAAACTTTATGTTAGTCTGACATTTTGTGCTGGATTTTTGCAGTTAGACTTTCTCATACCCCCCCCAAACACAGTTTTCATCAGGCATCAAGTCGCAAATACAATACAGCTATAGATAAGCTAACAGGACCAAATCAGCAACAAGACAGATTATACATAAACACAATTTAAAATCCCTTCTGCCACACCTTTTTTCATAAATTCAGGATGTTTAGACTCACAGTACCTGCCTGATCTTCTCCCTCAAGAACTCTCATGTCCTCCATACTGCTGCTCCCCATTCACCATTATAAAAGGGAATCTTCCTCAAAAGCCAAAGCATTTGTCAGATATACAGTAATTTTGAGGAAGAAAGAGGATAACTGTAAAATTACTATAGCATATAAGGAGTTACGTTCAAGAAATAGTAACTTCACATGAATGTAGATTCCCAACAATTCCTATTTTTCAAGTATGATAAGCTCTTTCTACTACTAAAACAACATTTTATTCCATTTCAGTCTGTCTTGCTGTAGACCCACTGAAGTCTCTCCATGAAGATGCAGGTTGAAAGGTAATATTAATTTCATATTTCCAAATAAAAGCCTTTTGCTATTAATTTCATAAATCCAAAAAGACTTTGAAGATTATTTTCAGAGAGCTTTTGCACAAATATGCAAATGGAACTGCATTTACCTTCTTCATGGCATTCAAATGAATTCATTAAACTTCCATTTTACCACCATCAAGTTTTTAAGCAAATCAGGTCTACGTGCAGCAACATGAATTCACATGTGTTATCTCAAAAGAGGTGGTAGATAAGGGAAGAGGCAGGACTAATCCTTTCAACAGCAGCCTAGATTCAAACTGACCTCTGGCCTCCGTGTTTTCCATCATCTTAAAAGACTTGTCTATCATTTTATTTATTTTTAATACAGTGACTGAGACAAAAAATCCTGATAGCAGAATCAGAGAGGCTGGTAAAAAGCTTTCCAGAGCTCAAGTCAATTTAGATCTTCACTTACAGAAGCATACTTTCAGATAATACCTGCAACTCAGTCAATTCAATCAAAAACTAGGTAGTTGGATTTCATGGATCTCCACCCATTTCCAGTGCACCTGCTATTGCTTTGCCTTTAGATTATGAGATATTTAACTGCTATTTGAGAAAATTAACTATCAAGTACTGCACTAACAAAATCTGCGATTTCTAGTTGAGAAAAGTCATGAGAAGCAGGCAATAACTGAGCGATTCTCAGAGGGAAAGATAGTACTAAAAAAGTACTAACTAAAAAAGTACTTTCAGTACTACTAAAAAAGAACTGTGCATCTAGGGTGCTTAAGAAACAGGACTGAACAGCAAAGGCTTTGGTCTTGTAACAGAAGAAAATATGTATAATTTTCTTTAAGATTATTCTAGGCATTTTTCCCAAATGAACAGGGAAAATAAGGAGGCAGAAAGCAAGAAGGTGGAAAATTACTCCTGAAAGAGGTTCCAACACTCTTCCAACCTACAGGTTTTTGACTCAAGATCTTGCTGATGGCAATTTCTCTCCTGAATGCAGCATTTAGGCTTTTGTTGCAAGCTCTTAAAACAAAAGACAGATATTCACAAACAGCTGGACAAGAAACTCTTTTGCAGATCAATTAAATTCACTGCCATTATCCCCAAACATAAAATCAATCCTCAATACATTTGCAGATAACACACGAAGTATTCCTACAAGCCGTTTCATTTTTAATAACAGCAGTTCAAAAGAAGTTAAAGAACAGACCTAAGGCAATTTTTCCTCTCAGTAACATTTTCAGAAATATTGTGCATTGAAAGTTTTTAATACTCACAAAAACAAAATGAAGTTTTGTCTAGGAATAATGCAAAAGTATCATAAAATCAGCTTTCCTTTAGATTATGCTACAGTAATTTTTTTCCTAACCAGTAATAAGCTATGCCAAAAAAAGACCTAGAAAATTTAAGATACACATTCACTATGTTCAATGACATAATTTTTCTCCAGATTAGGTCTTAGAATCTCAAATATGGAACGAAAAAACAACTATTACCCACGTAAGTACTTTGTTTTGAAAAAACATTATCTCATTTTATGTTGATAAACAAAATTTTGCACCATACTTGACTCTCAGGAAAGGTCAGGCATGAGTCATGTCATGATCTGGAAAGCAGTCAAACTGGAACTTCAATAGTAAGACAAAACTAGTTATAGCAAGCAATGCATAAACCCACTTTTATTTGCTTTGACTGATTTAAGGAGAATAGGATCTCAAAAAAAACAAACCTAGAAATTTATAGTGGACAAGCGTAAACTACAGTTTTCTTCCCAATCAATTTACCTGCTCCACATTCTTATCAGACTAATAAAGGAAACTATCAAAATATTTATGTTTCCTCACCACCAGTCTCCATTCAGTTAAAGTTACAATAGTCAATTCCAGCTCGGCTCTGTTACCTTAAAACAGTCTGCAGCATTGCCCATCCACATTTACAGTCATCCATTTATAATATGATATTGCTAGATTTATCACATCACTACTTTGATATTAATGGCATCAGAAGATCACCTAAGACCACTAGTATGCTGGCACCATTATTAAAATTCCCCAATCTAAATGGTAGTCCAGATGCTACTTCATTTGGGATGACTAAAAAGGCTACTAAGTATAGGAAAAGCCAACAGTCACTACTGTTAACAGTTTATTGTCTGGTTACCAAGGAAATCTTACTCAAGCATGACAATACTGTCAGGCAGATTTTTGCTCTCCAAGAACTAAGACTTAATATATAACAAATTTTCAAAAAAGCATTCAAAAAAGATTCGAGCAAGGTTTCCCAGGTAACTGAAACTACTGTGTCCCAGGATCCCTTTATGATATCACGTACAAAACTATGCCAGTCAAACAGAGCCAGAAATAAAAAATAAGGTGGCATTCTAGAATGGAAGAAAATCTCCATGAGTAAACCCAGCTCCAAAACCCAAGACAGACAAGGGTGACAGGAACTCAGCGATCAATTAACTTCTAGATTATTAGCAAGTGACCACCCTACATACAACAAATACCCACATTTCTACTTTTGTTCCTCCCAAGCTTTGATATTTAAAAATAACAAAAATTTAAAAAGTGTGGTTTGAACTTAATGAGGTTTTTTGTTCCTAAAAACTGGGGGGGGGAGGGGAGGGAGGTGGAGGAGAAGGGGGAAAGAGGTCACCATGTTTTGATGTAACTGCTAGTCATTCTGATACCCAAGCATTCCAGTTTTAAAAATCCTGATCTCCCGATTCTGTAAGTAGTCCCATGTCAAATAGTTTCACACACACATGAAACAGTAAATCTGTTTGGTGAAATTTCACCAACACTTAAAGATAACAGATACTCTGCAATTGTGCAGATAAAGCCTTGACTCCTATTAACACTAATAGTTCAAGAACAGAAGAAAGGATAAGCAACTCAGTCCTCCTGACCAAGTAAATTAAGAGAGGAAGACTATGAGAATGTTTACTTAAATGACTAGATGAGGCAGGAGTGAGACATTTCCACACAAAACTCTGAACTGAGTAATCAAGTTGTATTTGAAAGCAACATTCAACAAGACAGCAGTTTAACCAGCTGGACAAATAAATCCAATGTACTCAAACCGAACTTGCAATAAAGCCAGCTTTTAGGTTTTGTCTCATCCACTGAGAGAAGATCAAGTACACTGCATCTCAGCTAAGCATATCTAACTCAAAAAATATATTTTTTTCTTCCATTCAACATTGAGGTTTTGAAACCTGAAAAGTAGGATTTTAGAGCAAGAAAAAAAAATAATGGGACTTCTACTTATCTACCGCTTATTACCATGACACTGTCAGCCTTCATGTGGGAAAACCACCAACGCATCAAGAAATTCAAGATTATAGCAAGATACATAACCTAACATATTGCAGTTCTTTGTTAAGTTGAATATGACTTTTGGTCAGTTAACTGTATAATAAGTCATCTCCATAACCATTTTGATGACTCAAACACACAAATCCATTTTAAAATGGACTCACTTATTAAACACTACACTAAATCTATCTTAACAAACACTTAGCTTATTACATCACTAGAGGTAGAACAGTAAAGACTTTAAATAACCTTAATTTACAATTATGTGCTGTCAAAGGCTGGTTTTCAAATGCTCTAAAATAAGATTTCCCAAAAACAAGTCTGTATGGTGATCACTTATTGCTTTAGACTATTCATTTTGCCAGAAAATCCTTATGACACAACATTGTAATATCCAACAAGGACATAAAAAGACTAAACTAAATTCTTCTTTTTGTATCCTCAGTTAGCAGTTCTTGGTTCCACATAGTTAAATCACCTGGTAAAACCACTTTTGAAAGCTCTGAGGATCTCCGAGACCCTAGTGCAATTATAGAAGTAACACAGAGTCTATATTGTAAAGGAAGTAATAAGAAAATAAGATGTACTTACAAAGCTAGGCTACTCAATACATATTGTACGTGCTCACATTCAGCTGGGAATGATACACAGGCAGACGTGAAACAACAGAGCGCCGTCTGAAGCACCTGAAGCTGAGGCAAAGGAACCTGCCATCTTCCAGCATAGTCTTCAACAACCTAATAACAAAACCATTGAAATACATATTACAATGGAAAACATCCTCTTTAGTCAGAAATAAGTAGTTAATACTGTACGTGCTTTATCTCCCTCAGAATTAGGGTTTATACCAAAAAACTTGACCATTTCGTGTCCAAAAAAAAAAAAACCAGATATACCACAAAGGACCTTCAACTGCTGTTCTCATAGGGTAAGGCAGGAAATACTTCCTTTTTACGTAGTATCACAGAAGATATTACACTCTATATTTAAACACAAGTTTTTATCCTGCAAGAAGATACAAATTAGTCTATAACAATATCCAGACATTCCATTCTAAAGCTTTCAAAGAGTGGAATGACTAGCCTGTGGTCTTCTAGCCTTTATGTCAGCAGAGAAGGGCACAAATACACAGTCACCCATTCTTATCTGATCAAATAAATAATTTTGGCCTTTTTTATCTACATGACAGAACTAAGGCTAGTTATGCCCCGATCTACAGTTACAGAACTGCATCACTATTTATAGAGAAACATGAAAGTGAAATATAGATGTTTTAATAGAGAAAATTGAGAAAAAAAACCTTGCCTGATCATCCAGCCACTCCTGTTTGTATTAATAAATGCAAATTTCTGGCACTGCCTTTTGTTCACATTGGGGGACTTGGTAACCCAGCAGCGGCCAATATGTCTACATGGGTATACCTACACTGAAGTCCTCTGAAAAGCCTGGTCCATTTAGAGCACTCCATGTATAAAGCACACAGCACCAAGTCAGCAAAAAGCACAGCAATAAACAGATGTAAGGGCACCCACCAGTTCTGTGAAAAACTAGTCATTATGCTGCAGTCCCCCAGCAAGTAGAAGGCCAAGGGCTTTGGGTCATCTCTCCTCCTTTAATCAACGGCTAAGACATGACTTATAGCGAGCATTCTAAGCAGAGACTGAATACTCTATTTCTTGCATCCTCTGGCACATAGCTTAGCTCACTGCACTACAGTCAGGCTCCCTTTACTCACTTACTCTTGACTTATTTTCTTCCATTATAACAGCACAGTTTCAATATAAGCAGAAGAGTGGACTTGCTGCACTTCAGGGCCTAGGGTACTCACTCCTCTCCAGCTGAGGAAACCTAACTGAGACCTCCTACATCCTGAGAAAGTGAGAAGCTGGTGGGGAAACACAATGCCATCAGCCATGCCGTAAAGAGAAAGATAAAGCATTCCATAGCATGTAGAAGGAACAAATAACTGACTTCAAGAAAGCTGTGAAGTGACAATCCTGGTTACACCTGGGCACCCATCTCAAGAACCAGGCTGGCCCACGAAGCATAGATTAAACCAAAAATCAGATTAAAATCAAAAAGAAATCCTGAAGAGGGTTGTAAGTCTGAATCCCACTTAGATTTGTCTAATTCCCTGTGACCTAAATAAAGGACTTAGAAGTCAGGTTCAGTGGACTACATTTTTAGTTCCAAAGCTGCGCACCTAACTTTGTTTAAGGCTCTGCAACACCAACAGGCCAGTTCTGCCCCATGAAATGTCCCATTTCTGACAGTTTGGTTATAGCTGCTCCAAAGTAAAGCAGTTACTGATAACAGGACTGGATTTTTTTTTTCTCCTCATCAAGAATAGCTGACACTAACTGATATTTTGGAAGCAGATTTTGCCTTCCCACCAAATTTATTTTAATAATTTGTGTTTGAAAATCTGTTAGCTCAATGCAACAAATACCTAGGTCAACTGAAAGAGAAAGAGCAGACTTGTAGATACTCTTCTTCTTACAAGGAAAAATAATCACTTTGTAAAACAGTACTGCCTCACACCTAATGCAAATTCTCTGAAATACTTTTAACAAGGTCTTTGCCATCAGAAATCACAAAAAGCCTTAAGAGAAACCAAATGGTCCAACAAAAAAACTAAAACGTCAGTTCCCACCATGGTGTTTCACAACACTTTGATCTGAGAGGCACAGTATAGATATGTTGATAAATCATTTCAAGCAATGAGATAACAACACTTAGTTATGATACTGATTTTTTTTTCCTTGGTGGTATAAAGTGCTAACTGTCAAGAACAATCAAAAGGATTTATGACAGTGAGTGATGAAATTCAGCACAGACAAGTGTGCAGTAGTACTGGGGAACAAAACATTCCAAACATTTAATATGGTGGCCTTCAAACTGACAATTACCACCAAAGAGCAAGCCTGTGTTAGTACGGTAGACCTTTTTAAAGAAAAATCACCTTGATGCTTATCGTAATGGCCAAGAAAGCGATTTAAATATTAGGAGAGTAGTAAGATAAAACAAAGCACAGTGCTACCTGCTCATATCCCCACACCTATAGAATTGCATGCTGTTTTGCTACCTACCCATCCCTATTTTGAAAGGGGATGCAGAGGCCTAAAAAGAAAAAGCTTCAAAGGATGGCAAGAAATGCTATGCCAAGTAGTGAAATAAATTTCACATAAGAATCAATGCAGTTAACTAGGACACTTTAGGATGAAATTACAAGTACAGGGGACACACACCAAACAAGGTTTGCAAGCAGGATCAAAATAAATTACAGGAGGTAGTTCTTCACATAGCATGAAATTAAGTTGAGGAGCTCCTTACGAAAGGGACACACGAGTTAAAAGAAGCCATGTGAAAACAGTAAGAGGTACTGAACCAGATATCCACTAAAAGTTACTAACTACAGTAAATTAGCTGAACTGAAAATAGTTAAGAGAGGGCAAAGTTACTTTATTTGCTCATCTCATTCTTTGTGTTAGGCATACATGCACTTTTGGTAAGATTCTGCTCCTAATGCCAGTGTACTGCTACTGCAAATTCATCAGCACTCAAAAGGCATACAACAAAGGCTTATTTCGAGTATAATAGTTAGACATTGTAGTCTCCGAAATGCACAGTCCTACTGCCCACACTTCATAAAGGTTTATACAGTCCTACTACTTGCCCTTGCTGCACCTACAGCCCTCATCTAAGCCCAAAGCAAGCTAGTTCAGGAACTAACTGGTAGAGAACAGCCGCCTTTAACAAAAAAAGCCATCAGTCACTGCCTGCATCAGCTCTCCAAACTGGCCCACCACCCTGCCCCAGAAACACCAGAGGTGGCACAGAGATGAAGATAGCACAACAGCAACATTGCCTTAGTTAAGCAGTTAGTCTCCAACTCAAATGTATCCACAAAAGATTTACAGCAACAGCCGGTCACATCCCCTGCAACTAGTTAGGAAGAATACTCTTTTTCTGAGTATGGATACATGAAACCATGTATTTGTCAATCCCAGCAGAAAAAAAAAAAAAAAGCCTAAAATTGGTCACTTCTCAGCAGACTTGCAACAATCACCAGTAAAAGATGGAAAGGGAGTCAGGGGGAGTAAAGGCTAAACTAAGTATGAAATAAATTCTAAACTATGCTGCACACACATTCTATACAGAAGGGGAATTGTTTGTTTTACAATTCTATGTATACTTCAATGTCTGTGTTCTCATGGAATAGGTTTTTCTATAATAGAAACAAACACCTTTGCTGTTCAAAATATTCAACATGCCATCCTTTAAAATAGGACTGCAAAACAGAACATAGGTAAAGGTTTATGCCAAAAAGAACCCCCAAAGGAAAAGAAAAAAAAAAAACCCACAAAACCCAAAACTTTATGACTTCTGATATTTTACAATGAAAACTAAAGTCAAAGAGACATGCGTACATTCACCCTCATGTTACCAAGTTGTGTCATCAGAGCACTTGAGAAAAATCTGAGTATGCTGCTTGAGTACTAGATGCTTTATTTAAAGTTTATGCTTATCAGCACATTTTTAACAAGCACATTAATTTCAATATAATGAAGCCAGCCAAAAAAGAAGCATATAACATTGTCAAAACAAAGTGGCCTGTTTCTTGTCCAACATATAGTGCAGAAAATCAGAAGGTAGGTGACATTTTATTGTGACTTTCTGAAATGATTCCCCTTCAAGAATTCTGTTAGGGTGCAATTTTTATATACTTAAAGACTCTCCACGCATCATTCCCCCGTCTATCTTTCCCTTTTAAATCACTACCATCCATTGATGAGAGAAGAGATTGTGGGGGCCTTTCCTGCCTTCCCTTTCTCATTCAGTACAGATACTGAAAGGTCGACTGTAGCATCTTTCTGACAAGCCCCCTTCCTGGGGTGGAGTTCTGACAAACTCCACCTTCCTCCCATATCAATACACTACTTCCCTTTCTTTAATGTTCAAGTAACTGTCCTGTCGAGTGCAAAATCAAGACCAGACTTATCAGTCACCTATAAGTTTCCAAGCAGGCAACTAAAGCAACTGTCCCTCAAAATAACAAGGTAGCAACCAAAGACCTGAACCAACCTAAAAACTCATTTTCCCTGAAATTTTGTGTTTAAACTGATTTAATGTACACATATATTTTAAGTAATTAAATATATAAAGTGATTTGACTATATTCCAGACACTCAAGAGAAGCAATATTGCAAGTAAGTAGATTTGCAAATATGTAGGACACAAAAAAATTAATGTTTTATGTAGTGCTAGGCCTGAAGTTGCTACAGCTTTTCCTGTCCTGCCTCACAACAAAAAAGAACAAATCCCACCAATTTTAAAGTTTTGTCATTAGTTGGATTTTACATAAGTTACTTCTCTAATTTTTTTGCGAGATTTAACAGTAAAGGAAGTCCCCATAGGATTAAAACCACAACAGTTTTGTGAGTACTGCTGTTTATAGTTTCCAGAAAAAGAAAGCTAGTTGGCAAATACAGTGCCCATCATTTGTTATAATAAGCAAATATAGTGGTTGTCACGAAAAAGAATGAAGAAAAAAGGATTTAAAATGTGAGGCAAAAAAGGGGCCTGTTAAAAAAAAAAAATTCCTAAAAACTAAAGACCATAATTAAAAGGAACACCTACTACGGTTGCCTGTTCAGCAGAAGTACCAGAGCAGCTTGGATACCAGTGTTTAGTTCTAGAAGAAAACTTGAGTAACACTGAATTTACTCTA